TAGGTGTCCTGTTTGCAAACTTCTACATGGGTACCATCGAGCAAAAAGTCTTACTCGACATGAACTTGAAACCGGCCATATACTGCAGGTATGTTGACGACATTTTTACACAGGTACCTGATGTCAGACATCTGCAGAAGCTGAAGGAGGCATTTGAGCAGAGTTCCGTGCTGCGTTTCACTTACGAGACGGAAAAGGATGGGAAGCTGCCCTTTCTAGATGTAACAGTCATGGAAAAGGGCGGAGGTTTCCACACTGCAGTCTACACTAAGGAAACAAACATAGGAATGTGCCTAAATGCCAACAGCGACTGCCCTGACAGGTACAAGAGGAGTGTTGTTAACGCATACGTCGACCGTGCTCTCAGCCACAGCTCAGAATGGAAGCAAGTCGACGAAGAACTCTGTAGGGTAAGGCAGGTCCTAGTCAATAACGGCTTCTCCAATGGTTTCGTCGAAGACATCATAAGATGGAAAGTGAAAAGCCATGCAACCTCTGAAGAGACAACTAACACAACACCTATACCCCCTATTAGACTATTTTACAGGAACTTCTTTTCCACAGCTCATAAAACGGAGGAAAGGGTCCTGAAAGATATTATTAATAGAAACGTTATCCCTACAGACAAAAATCAGAGGATACAACTGACGATTTACTATAAAACCAGAAAAACGGCCAGCCTACTCATGAGAAACTCTCCAGACACAAAACAGAACGCTTTAAAAGAGACTAACGTCGTCTATGCCTTCAAATGCCCTCTTGGGGACTGTAAGCTCCAAAAAACCCAGTATATAGGCAAGACAACAACATCTCTTTCTAGGCGTTTAACGATGCATAAGCAACAGGGCTCCATTAAGGAACATATAATCTCTTCCCATAACCAAACCATCGCCAGAGAAATCCTAGTAAACAACACAGAAATCATCGATAGATACAGCGATAGCAGGCGGCTTGACGTTTGCGAGGCACTACACATCAAGAAGTCAACACCAGCAATCAACAGCCAATTATTGCACAACTATATTCTACCCACCTCAAGACTCCGCTCCAATATAGAAGCATCAAGAAATATGGACCAATAGGCTTTCTACAAACACTTCTATTCAATACCCATTGTTTCTGTTCTGTCTTGTGTTGATACTTTTAATACCCTATTAATATCCCCTCCTGTTCTATCTTGTGTTAATGCCACATCATCCTTACCACCTCACTCAAATGTAGATATAAAATCAGAGATACGTTCTAATCAGTTGTGTATTTGTGAAGTCTTTGAAAATGTAATAAGTTTTACGAAACGCGCCCGTGTCGCGTCAGACTGGAAATAAAAATGAATTTTGGAGAAGTGATTTTTGATTTACCTCCAACAGTGAAGCGTAATGTACGAAAGATTGAGAAAATTCGTGTTAGAATTATTAATCTTACTTTTTCGGTCATATTTAATAATATATGTCTACAGGAAAGACTGCTACCAAAATATACTAATATTAAAGTGCACGACCCAGCAGCAAGGAATCAAGCCTTCACGATAAAATATCGCCAGGATCTGATTCGTGATCAGATATACAAGGCAGAGAATGAAATCAAAGACAACAAAACACAACTACTTCATGCTACAAACGAGTGGAGAAATAGCAACATCGACCATAGTATCCGTACCCGCATTGAACAACACCTCGACATCCTCACAGACCAACATCACCTCAGCACTGAAACAAGGATTATCAAGAAACTAACAACATTATATGGAGGACCTATGGCAATTCCACGACCAAGAGATGGCTTCCTGAACCTTGCAGGAATTAACCTCACTGAGGACCAAGTCACTCTCCTAAATCTGGGCATAAACTGTCATGTTATGTCCAGACCGAGTGAAATGGCCCGGAAAGTAGAGTTGGAAATTCTGTTGGACGACATATTCGACCTCGAGACACAAAAGAAGGTCACTACCAAAGATACCTTACAAGCAGAACTTATTGCAGAAGGAGGAAAGAATCGAGGCAACTACAGAAGCACCATACTGTCCCCCGAGCTTAAAGCGGCAGCTAAAAGCCTTCGTGAGAACAAGGTGATAGTTGTCAGGAGAGGTGACAAGTCGCCAATATATGTCATTCTTAAAAAAGACGAATATCTGGCGAAAATGAACATCATACTCTCTGACCAAACTAAGTTCCAAAGGGTAACGAAGGACACTACAGCCGAATTAAAAGCAAAGGTCAACAAACTGATCGAAACTGTAAACGCCAAGAAATCCGGACTCCACCTGCCAAAGATCATTGGGGAATATAAACCTGGATATGCGTATGGAAATGTCAAGACGCACAAGCCTGGAAACCCACTTCGGCCAATCATTAGCCAGATACCCACACCCACGTACAGACTGGCAAAGCGACTCAACGGCCTGCTGACTCCTTATGTTCCTTGCGCCTTCAGCCTGAAGTCTCCAAAGGAATTTGTGGACTTACTGCGGGGCACACGGGCCACAGGGATAAGAGCCTCGTTGAACGTAGAATCGCTGTTTACCAACGTACCTGTGGACGAGACAATCGGAATGATAGCCGACAGAGTGTATCGTGATCCAGCCTGTACTCCTCTTGACATGCCAGAAAGTATTCTGAGGAAACTACTCCAAGCTTGTACTAAAGAGGCACCCTTCTTGAGCCCGGATGGGCACATGTATAAGCAAGTAGATGGGGTCGCCATGGGTTCTCCCCTAGGTGTCCTGTTTGCAAACTTCTACATGGGTACCATCGAGCAAAAAGTCTTACTCGACATGAACTTGAAACCGGCCATATACTGCAGGTATGTTGACGACATTTTTACACAGGTACCTGATGTCAGACATCTGCAGAAGCTGAAGGAGGCATTTGAGCAGAGTTCCGTGCTGCGTTTCACTTACGAGACGGAAAAGGATGGGAAGCTGCCCTTTCTAGATGTAACAGTCATGGAAAAGGGCGGAGGTTTCCACACTGCAGTCTACACTAAGGAAACAAACATAGGAATGTGCCTAAATGCCAACAGCGACTGCCCTGACAGGTACAAGAGGAGTGTTGTTAACGCATACGTCGACCGTGCTCTCAGCCACAGCTCAGAATGGAAGCAAGTCGACGAAGAACTCTGTAGGGTAAGGCAGGTCCTAGTCAATAACGGCTTCTCCAATGGTTTCGTCGAAGACATCATAAGATGGAAAGTGAAAAGCCATGCAACCTCTGAAGAGACAACTAACACAACACCTATACCCCCTATTAGACTATTTTACAGGAACTTCTTTTCCACAGCTCATAAAACGGAGGAAAGGGTCCTGAAAGATATTATTAATAGAAACGTTATCCCTACAGACAAAAATCAGAGGATACAACTGACGATTTACTATAAAACCAGAAAAACGGCCAGCCTACTCATGAGAAACTCTCCAGACACAAAACAGAACGCTTTAAAAGAGACTAACGTCGTCTATGCCTTCAAATGCCCTCTTGGGGACTGTAAGCTCCAAAAAACCCAGTATATAGGCAAGACAACAACATCTCTTTCTAGGCGTTTAACGATGCATAAGCAACAGGGCTCCATTAAGGAACATATAATCTCTTCCCATAACCAAACCATCGCCAGAGAAATCCTAGTAAACAACACAGAAATCATCGATAGATACAGCGATCGCAGGCGGCTTGACGTTTGCGAGGCACTACACATCAAGAAGTCAACACCAGCAATCAACAGCCAATTATTGCACAACTATATTCTACCCACCTCAAGACTCCGCTCCAATATAGAAGCATCAAGAAATATGGACCAATAGGCTTTCTACAAACACTTCTATTCAATATCTATTGTTTCGTGTTCTGTCTTGTGTTGATGAAATTAATACCCTATTAATACTCTTGTTCTGTCTTGTGTTGATGAAATTAATACCCTATTAATACCACAGCTTGTTCTGTCTTGTGTTAATGCCACATCACCCCTTCCACCTCACTCAAATGTAGATATAAAATCGGAGATGCGTAAGTTCTATTCAGTTGTGTATTTGTGAACTAAAGTCTTTGAAAATGTAATAAGTTTTACGAAACGCGCTCGTGTCGCGTCAGACTAGAAATAAAAATGAATTTTGGAGAATTGATTTTTAATTTACCTCCAACAGTGAAAAGAAATGTACGAAAGATTGAGAAAATTCGTGTTAGAATTATTAATCTTACTTTTTCGGTCATATTTAATAATATATGTCTACAGGAAAGACTGCTACCAAATATATATATATATATATATATATATATATATATATATATATATATATATATATATATATATATATATATATATATATATATATATATATATATATATATATATAATGCACATCTTGCCTAAACACGCAAGAGAAGTTATACAACTTTAGAACACTTTCCCACCAGGAGACTCGAACCCTAGCCAACACAGAAGCCTTACAGCAACAGGCATAACTGGTATGCCTTTAACCCACTGCACCAAGCTCAGACCCTTAAAAGAGATGGTAATTTTGGAGTATTTATACCCCCCCCCCCCCAAAGATCACCATCTCCTAAAGGCAACTAGAGTTAGTGAGGGGTCACTCACGTGCTTTCATCAAATTCTTGTTAACATGGGAGAACTCGGTGTCTATGCTAATTGCACAACTTGCATAAACACGCAAGAGAAGTTATACAACTTTAGAACACTTTCTCATAGGAGACTCGAACCCTAGCCAGCATAGAATCTTGAGATCTTGAGACTTACTGCCTAATGCATTCCATCTGTTAACTACTCTGACACTGAAAAATATCCTTCTTACGTCCCTGTGGCTCATGTGGGTACTCAGTTTCCACCTGTGTCCCCTTGTTCGCGTCCCGCCAGTGTTGAATAGTTTATCCTTGTTTACCCGGTCGATTCACCTGAGGATTTTGTAGGTTATGATCATGTCCCCCCCTTATTCTTCTGTCTTCCAGTGCCGTAAGGTGCATTTCCCGCAGCCTTTCCTCATAACTCATGTCTCTTAGTTCTGGGACTAGTCTAGTAGCATACCTTTGGACTTTTTCCAGCTTCGTCTTGTGCTTGACATGGTACGGGCTCCATGCTGGAGCCGCATACTCCAGGATTGGTCTTACATATGTGGTGTACAAGATTCTGAATGATTCCTTACACAGGTTCCTGAACGCTGTTCTGATGTTAGCCAGCCTCGCTATGCCACAGACGTTATTCTTTTTATATGGACTTCAAGAGACAGGTTTGGTGTGATATCAACTCTTAGATCTTTCTCTCTGTCTGTTTCATTAAGTACTTCATCTCCTATTCTGTATCCTGTGTCTGGCCTCCTGTTTCCACTGCCTAGTTTCATTACTTTGCATTTACTCGGGTTGAACTTCAACAGCCATTTGTTGGACCATTCACTCAGTCTGTCTAGGTCATCTTGTAGCCTCCTACTATCATCCTCTGTTTCAATCCTCCTCATAATTTTCGCATCGTCGGCAAACATTGAGAGGAACGAATCTATACCCCCTGGGAGAACATTTATATATACCAGAAACAGTATAGGTCCAAGGACTGACCCCTGCGGGACTCCACTTGTAACGTCTCGCCAATCTGAGACCTCACCCCTCACACTGACTCGTTGTCTCCTGTTGCTTAGGTACTCCTTTATCCAATGGAGTACCTTCCCTTTTACTCCAGCCTGCATCTCCAGCTTTTTCACTAGCCTCTTGTGTAGCACTGTATCAAAATACATACTGTATTTCTGACAATCCAAAAATATGGTGTCTGCCCACCCTTCTCTCTCTTTCTCCTTGTTTTTGTTGCCTGGCCGTAGAATTCAAGTAACCCTGTGAGGCAGGACCTGCCATCCCTGAACCCATGTTAATGCTGTGTTACAAAGTTCCTTTGCTCCAGATGCTCCACTATCTTTTTTCGCACAATCTTCTCCATCAGCTTGCATGCTTTGCAGGTTAGGGACACTGGCCTCCTGTCAATCCCTTTCTTGTATATCGGGACTACGTTAGCTGCTTTCCAAATATCTGGCAGTTCCCCTGTTGCCAGTGATTTATTATACACTATGGAGAGTGGTAGGCACAGTTCTTTTGCGCCTTCCTTTAGCATCCAAGGGGAGTTTCCATCTGGGCCTATAGCCTTTGTCACATCCAACTCTAGTAAACACTTCCTTACTTCCCCGCTGGTAATCTCAAACTCTTCCAGTGGTTTTTGGTAAGCTATTCCCTTTCCTATCTCTGGAATTTCTCCTTGCTGTAAGTTGAAGACCTCCTGGAATTTCTTATTCAGTTCCTCACACTTCCTTGTCATTTGTAGTTAATCCTTCCGCCCCTATCCTTAATGTTATAACCTGTTCCTTTACTGTTGTTTTTCTCCTGATGTGGCTATGCAACAATTTAGGCTGAGTCTTTGCCTTGCTTGCGATGTCATTTTCGTATTGTCTTTCTGCCTCTCTTCTCATCATGAACTATTCATTCTTGGCATTCTGGTATCTTTTTCTGCTCTCCAGTGTCCTGTATTCCTATAGTTTCTCCATGCCCTTTTACTTTACTGTTTAGCTAGCCTACATCTCTGATTAAACCATGGGTTTCTCATCTTCATTTCTCTGTTTTCCTTTTGGACTGGAACAAACTTGTTTGCTGCGTCCTTGCACTTCTGCGTGATGTAGTCCATCATATCTTGGGCCATCTTTTCCCTGAGCTCTTTTTCCCATGCTATATCTGTTAGGAATTTTCTTATCCCCTCATATTTTCCCTTTCGGTATGCTAACCTTTTGGTTACGGTATCCCTCCTCAAGTTCAATAACCCTTCTTCAATATGGTACTCAAACGCCAGTACACTGTGGTCGCTCATTTCTATTGGGTCTTCACAACCGATTTCTCTTATGTCAGAATCGTTCAGAGTGAAGACTAGTTCGAGTCTCGCTAGTTCGTCATTGCCTCTCATCCTTGTGGATTCTCTGACATGTTGGGTTAAAAAGTTTCTAGTCACCACCTCCAATAGTCTGGCTCTCCATGTATCCTCGCCTCCATGCGGTTCCTTGTTCTCCCAGTCAATCCTTCCGTGATTGAAGTCGTCCATGATGAGCAGGTGGGATCTATTTCTACAGGCAGCAGAGGCTGCCCTCTCAATTATACTGTTAACTGCCATGTTGTTGTTTTTGTACTCTTGACTGGGTCTTCTGTCATTTGGTGTGTGTGTGTGTGTGTGTGTGTGTGTGTGTGTGTGTGTGTGTGTGTGTGTGTGTGTGTGTGTGTGTGTGTGTGTGTGTGTGTGTGTGTGTGTGTATGTGTGTGTGTGTGTGTGTTTACTAGTTGTGTTTTTGCGGGGGTTGAGCTTTGCTCTTTCGGCCCGCCTCTCAACTGTCAATCAACTGTTTACTAACTACTTTTTTTTTTTCCACAACACACACACACCCCAGGAAGCAGCCCGTGACAGCTGACTAACTCCCAGGTACCTATTTACTGCTAGGTAACAGGGGCACTTAGGGTGAAAGAAACTTTGCCCATTTGTTTCTGCCTCGTGCGGGAATCGAACCCGCGCCACAGAATTACGAGTCCTGCGCGCTTTCCACCAGGCCATGAGGCCCCTTGTGTGTGTGTGTGTGTGTGTGTGTGTGTGTGTGTGTGTGTGTGTGTGTGTGTGTGTGTGTGTGTGTGTGTGTGTGTGTGTGTGTGTGTGTGAGTGTGTGTGTGTGTGTGTGTGTGTGTGTGTGTGTGTGTATGAAACAAAGCTTGACGGATCTTCAAGCCGTAAACCACTATAAACTATGATTCTATCAGGATTCGAACTTGGGAGGAAAATGATGTGTTCATTCTCACATTTGTTTATGCTAAGGAATGTTATTTATTGTGTCACATGTGCAAGTTTTTACCTGCATTAGCACCATCACTTTATTTAGTCCTGGAGGGTTAGTCTATTGGACAACGTTACTCATCCTGCGAGGGAACATCCACAGCAGCGTAAACAACACCGACAAATAATGTAATTTCTGTAACTTTCTGGGACTTTCATTACTGTAATCTGCCATAATCAGTAACATGAACATAAATATTGACGAGGACGTAAACATACCGCTGCCGTGAATGTAGCGGATGAGGGAGGAGTACACTTCAGCGTCGTTCAGGATGGCCAGGTCGCCGCCAAGACTCCTACAGTGGGTGCGCATTGTATCCCAGCTGCCTGTGTTCGAGACGTCAACATAGAGGCAGCGTCCTCCCACATCATGGAATGGTGATGTGCAGCTGGTGCCTGAAGGACAGACGAAGCGAGTTTAGAGGCTCAGAAAGCAGTGATTATATAAATTGTGTCTTATTGAGGTGTGGTATGTGGTCTGTTACGATCCACAAGTCCACTTGGTTTCTTTGAGTCATTCTTACCTAATACCAGTATACGCGACTGCCAAAAGACTGTCATACTACCAGTGCAGGACAAACTACCAGTGTGGGACAAACTACCAGTGTGGGACAAACTACCAGTGTGGGACAAACTACCAGTGTGGGACAAACTACCAGTGTGGGACAAACTACCAGTGTAGGACAAACTACCAGTGTGGGACAAACTACCAGTGTGGGACAAACTACCAGTGAAGGACAAACTACCAGTGTAGGACAAACTACCAGTGCAGGACAAACTACCAGTGTGGGACAAACTACCAGTGTGGGACAAACTACCAGTGTAGGACAAACTACCAGTGCAGGACAAACTATCAGTGTGGGACAAACTACCAGTGTAGGACAAACTACCAGTGCAGGACAAACTACCAGTGCAGGACAAACTACCAGTGTGGGACAAACTACCAGTGTGGGACAAACTACCAGTGTAGGACAAACTACCAGTGCAGGACAAACTATCAGTGTGGGACAAACTACCAGTGTAGGACAAACTACCAGTGCAGGACAAACTACCAGTGCAGGACAAACTACCAGTGTGGGACAAACTACCAGTGCAGGACAAACTACCAGTGTAGGACAAACTACCAGTGCAGGACAAACTACCAGTGTGGGACAAACTACCAGTGTAGGACAAACTACCAGTGTGGGACAAACTACCAGTGTGGGACAAACTACCAGTGAAGGACAAACTACCAGTGTAGGACAAACTACCAGTGCAGGACAAACTACCAGTGTGGGACAAACTACCAGTGTGGGACAAACTACCAGTGTAGGACAAACTACCAGTGCAGGACAAACTATCAGTGTGGGACAAACTACCAGTGTAGGACAAACTACCAATGCAGGACAAACTACCAGTGCAGGACAAACTACCAGTGTGGGACAAACTACCAGTGCAGGACAAACTACCAGTGTAGGACAAACTACCAGTGCAGGACAAACTACCAGTGTGGGACAAACTACCAGTGTAGGACAAACTACCAGTGTGGGACAAACTACCAGTGCAGGACAAACTACCAGTGTAGGACAAACTACCAGTGCAGGACAAACTACCAGTGTAGGACATACTACCAGTGCACGGCAAACTACCAGTGCAGGACAAACTACCAGTGTAGGACAAACTACCAGTGTAGGACAAACTACCATTAAGGAGGAACTACTGCTTACCACCAGCCTTGGAGGAGACAGTTGTCATGCCACCATTAACGACGGCTGCTGCTCCTGGGGAAGAAGAGAAGACTTTAGTGACTGTATCACTTGTTAGTGAAGCTTTATTAGATGTGGGTACCCGGCGGTGCCCGGGTCGACCCGTGCACCACACATCTTCCACATGTCTGTGCGTTTTTCTCTATGTCTGTCTGTCTGTCTCTCTCTCTCTCTTGCTATATAGTCTATATTCTATATATGCAATATATATTGCAATAAAGGCTTGGCACTTTCCCCTGATAAATCTGCCTGTCTGTATCTCTGTCTTTCTCTCTCTCTCCCCATCTCTCTTTTTCTATCATTCTTTTCTCTCTCTCTATCTTTCTTTCCCTATCGCTCTCCCTCCCCATTAATCTCTTTCTCTCTCACTTTGGCAGGGTATCGTGTGTTCATGTTAATTTCATGCCCCTCCAGACCCACCCATCTTGTGCACTTACCCAACAGCACTTACTAGGAAAACTTTAGTGAAGCTCGCCCCAATATTCTGGCCTCCAACACACATTCCCATTTACAGATACAAATAATACTGTAAGTTTGCACCTATGATGTTATTCGTATAATGTTCTTCTGTTAAGTATTTTAGGAAACAAATTCCATAATCTCTTAAGATGCTATATAATAGAGACGTGTTAATAATGATAAAACTTGAGAATTTTGTGAATAAATCCATCAACTTGTGATGGTTTCCAGTGTTCTTTGACTTAGAAGAAATTATTTCCCAAAATATTATCCATATCTAAAAGAAAAAAAGAATTTGTTAACTTTTTATATCTATTTCATTTTTATTATTAACCGAAAATTTCATTTAATTATTAACCGATTTAAACAGTTTTAAACGTTGAATGATCAACATTTTCAAGTCAGAGACTTAAAATGTCCAATACGTTTCTGAACTTATGGAGGTTGACATTGTAACTCTGAAAACATCATACATTTTCAGAGTTACAATATAAATGTTCTATATAAATGTTTGCCAAAATTCATGAAAGAAGATTCCACATGTCATTACAAACTGTAAAGTAAAAACTAAAACCAGAAAAAATAAATATAAAATAAATAATTAATCAAAGTTCCATCATTAACAAGAATATTTGACGTTTGAACTTCATCTTTCAGGAACTGAGGAACGTCGAGTAGACGGTCTGTGGTGAAGAGTGACTCCAGAGTATTGTCTGGCCAGTCTGTCTTCAGTATAGCAACAGGCCTCACCCACAAGACAAAACTCCCCTGTAATAGGAGTGGTCATGGAGTATACTCACCCAGGAAGAGCAGCAGCAGGAGGTAAGAGTGGTCCATGGTGACTGGTTGTGTTGGGGCGGGCGACAGTCACACGGTTTTTATACCCGACCATCACCCCTTCACACCCCTCAGGGCCACCTCTTCAACCCCCCCCCCCAAACCCCCGGGCCACGCCTGAACCCCTTACTACTCCCCAGCTCTCGTGTACCCCCACCCCACCCCCACCCCGCGCGAGCATGTATTCACCTAGTTGTGCTTGCGGGGGTTGAGCTCTACTCTTTAGCACCGCCTCTCAACTGTCAATCAACCAACTGTTGCTACCAAATTTTTGTCGCCCCCCCTTCAACTCACACACACATCCCCAGGAAGCAGCTCAGTAACAGCTGTCTAACTTCCAGCTACCTATTTACTGCTAGGTAACAGGGGCATCAAGGTGAAAGAAACTCTGCCCATTTGTTTCTGCCTGGTCCGGGAATCGAACCCTGACCACAGAATTACGAGTCCTGCTCTGTCATTCAGCTGCCAGACCCAGACTACCATGTGTTTGTACTTACCTAATTGTGCTTGTGGGGGGGTTGAGCTCTGGCTCTTTGGTCCCGCCTCTGAACTGTCATTCAACTGGTGTTCAGGTTCATGCGCCGATTGGGCTCTATCATATCAACACTTGAAACTGTGAATGGAGTCAGCCTCCACCACAACACTTCCTAATGCATTCCATTTGTCTAATACTCTCACACTGAAAAAATTCTTTCCAATATCTCTGTGGCTCATTTGGGCACTCAATTTCCACCTGTGTCCCCAAGTGCGTGTGCCCCTTGTGTTAAGTAGTCTGTCTTTATCTACCCTATCAATTCCTCTGAGAATCTTGTGTGTGGGGATCATGTCCCCCCAAACTCTTCTGTCTCCCAGTGACGTGAGGTTTAATTCCCGTAGTCTCTCATCGTAGCTCATACCCATCAGTTCGAGTACTACTCTGGTAAAAACCTTTGAACCTTTTTCAGTTTAGTCTTATGCTTGACTGAAAAAAGGGGTCCATGCTGGAGCCGCATACTCCAGGATTGGCCTGACATATGTGGTTACCTTGAGGTGCTTCCGGGGCTTAGCGTCCCAGCGGCCCGGTCGTCGACCAGGCCTGGTATACAAAGTTTTGAATGAGTCCTTACACAAGTTTCTAATAACAAGTTTCTGTACTCACCTAGTTGTACTTACCTAGCTGTGCTTGCGGGGGTCGAGCTCTGGCTCTTTGGTCCGGCCTCTCAACTGTCAATCAACTGGTGTACAGATTCCTGAGCCTACTGGGCTCTGTCATAACTACACATGAAACTGTGTATGGAGTCAGCCTCCACCACATCACTGCCTAATGCATTCCATCTGTTAACTACTCTGACACTGAAAAATTTCTTTCTAACGTCCCTGTGGCTCATGTGGGTACTCAGTTTCCACCTGTGTCCCATTGTTCGCGTCCCACCAGTATTGAATAGTTTATCCTTGTCTACCCTTTGTGTGTGTGTACTTACCTAATTGAACTCACCTAATTGTGCTTGCGGGGGTTGAGCTTTGTCTCTTTGGTCCCGCCTCTCAACTGTGAATCAACTGGTGTACAGATTCCTGAGCCTATTTTGTGTGTGTGTGTGTGTGTGTGTGTGTGTGTGTGTGTGTGTGTGTGTGTGTGTGTGTGTGTGTGTGTGTGTGTACTCACCTATTTGTACTCACCTATTTGTGCTTGCGGGGGATGAGCTTTGGCTCTTTGGTCCCGCCTCTCAACTGTCAATCAACTGGTGTACAGATTCCTGAGCCTACTGGGCTCTATCATATCAACATTTAAAACTGTGTACGGAGTCAGCCTCCATCACATCACTGCCTAATGCATTCCATCCGATAACTACTCTGACACTGAAAAAGTTCCTTCTAACGTCTCTGTGGCTCATGTGGGTACTCAGTTTCCACCTGTGTCCCCTTGTTCGCGTCCCACCAGTGTTGAATAGTTCATCCTTGTTTACCCGGTCGATTCCTCTGAGGATTTTGTAGGTTGTGATCATGTCTCCCCTTACTCTTCTGTCTTCCAGTGTCGTAAGGTGCGTTTCCCGCAGCCTTTCCTCGTAACTCATGCCTCTTAGTTCTGGGACTAGTCTAGTGGCAAACCTTTGGACTTTTTTCAGCTTCGTCTTGTGCTTGACAAGGTACGGGCTCCATGCTGGGGCCGCATACTCCAGGATTGGTCTTACATATGTGGTGTACAAGATTCTGAATGATTCCTTACACAGGTTCCTGAACGCTGTTCTGATGTTAGCCAGCCTCGCATACGCCGCAGACGTTATTCTTTTAATGTGGGCGTCAGGAGACAGGTTTGGTGTGATATCAACTCCTAGATCTTTCTCTCTGTTCGTTTCATTAAGTACTTCACCTCCTATTCTGTATCCTGTGTGTGTGTGTGTGTGTGTGTACTCACCTAGTTGTGTCTGCAGGATCGAGCATTGACTCTTGGATCCCGCCTTTCGAGCATCGGTTGTTTACAGCAATGACTCCTGTCCTATTTCCCTATCATACCTGGTTTTAAAATTATGAATAGTATTTGCTTCCACAACCTGTTCCTGAAGTGCATTCCATTTCCCCACTACTCTCACGCTAAAAGAAAACTTCCTAACATCTCTGTGACTCATCTGAGTTTCAAGCTTCCATCCATGTCCTCTCGTTCTGTTACTATTCCGTGTGAACATTTCGTCTATGTCCACTCTGTCAATTCCTCTGAGTATCTTATACGTTCCTATCATGTCCCCCCTCTCCCTTCTTCTTTCTAGTGTCGTAAGGCACAATTCCCTCAGGCGCTCTTCATACCCCATCCCTCGTAGCTCTGGGACGAGTCTCGTTGCAAACCTCTGAACCTTTTCCAGTTTCATTATATGCTTCTTCAGATGGGGACTCCATGATGAGGCGGCATACTCTAAGACTGGCCTTACGTAGGCAGTGTAAAGCGCCCTAAATGCCTCCTTACTTAGGTTTCTGAATGATGTTCTAACTTTTGCCAGTGTAGAGTACGCTGCTGTCGTTATCCTATTAATATGTGCCTCAGGAGATAGATTAGGTGTTACGTCCACCCCCAGGTCTCTTTCACGCGTCGTTACAGGTAGGCTGTTCCCCTTCATTGTGTACTGTCCCTTTGGTCTCCTATCTCCTAGTCCCATTTCCATAACTTTACATTTGCTCGTGTTGAATTCTAGTAGCCATTTCTCTGACCATCTCTGCAATCTGTTCAGGTCCTCTTGGAGGATCCTGCAATCCTCATCTGTCACAACTCTTCTCATCAACTTTGCATCATCCGCAAACATCGACATGTAGGACTCTACGCCTGTAAACATGTCGTTAACATATACAAGAAATAGAATTGGTCCCAGCACCGATCCTTGTGGTACTCCACTTGTTACTGTTCGCCAGTCCGACTTCTCGCCCCTTACCGTAACTCTTTGGCTCCTTCCTGTTAGGTAGTTCCTTATCCATTCTAGGACCTTTCCCCCCACCCCCGCCTGCCTCTCGAGCTTGAACAGCAGTGTGTTGTGTGTGTGTGTGTGTGTGTGTGTGTGTGTGTGTGTGTGTGTGTGTGTGTGTGTGTGTGTGTGTGTGTGTGTGTGTGTGTGTGTACTCACCTAGTTGTACTCACCTAGTTGTGTTTGCGGGGGTTGAGCTCTGGCTCCTTGGTCACCTTGTGTGTGTAAGTGTGTGTGTGTGCGTGCGTGCATGCGTGCGTGCGTGTGTGTGTGTGTGTGTGTGTGTGTGTGTGTGTGTGTGTGTGTGTGTGTGTGTGTGTGTGTGTGTGTGTGTGTGTGTGTGTGTGTGTGTGTGTGTACTCACCTAGTTGTACTCACCTAGTTGTGTTTGCGGGGGTTGAGCTCTGGCTCCTTGGTCTCCTTGTGTGTGTAAGTGTGTGTGTGTGCGTGCGTGCATGCGTGCGTGCGTGCGCGCGCGTGTGTGTGTGTGTGTGTGTGTGTGTGTGTGTGTGTGTGTGTGTGTGTGTGTGTGTGTGTGTGTGTGTGTGTGTGTGTGTGTGTGTGTGTGTGTGTGTGTGTGTGTGTGTGTGTGAAGCAACAGCTGCCGTCAGTGTTGGGAAGCATCGCCGGCTGACGTCTCCCTCACATTGAGACTCTTAAGTAAACATTGATATGCGGTTTGTCACAGATCTTACGTCAATACAGTAATGAGTTACGCTAGTGTGATGAGGGCCTGGCGTGAGGACCTGTTATGAAGGCCAGATGTGAGTGCCTGGTTTAAGTCACGGGTTTGTATCTACCCAACAATAATTTAGGTAAGTACTGAATCATTAAATGACCTTACATCTATGACATGAGGAAGGCGATAACAAACCACAACAACAGAGGAAGAGATGTTCTTCGACCAGATGTGTTCACCACCGACATGAACATGTTCACCACCGACATGAACATGTTCACAATATCTCCTGGATGCACTCAAAATTTTCTTAGCGACAAATATTACAGAATTAAGTGCCGTCATCGAACGCCTCTGCACCATTATTAACAGTTCCGAAAAATCATTTTTTAATCATTAAATTTTTTTATAGATATTAGTTGCAGATGTTACTTTCGCAGACTGAGCCACACCTCGAGGGGTAAGAGGGTTGGGGTAGCAGGTATGGGTTCCCTCTCGCCTCCTTGGTGGTGAGGGGGAAGGGGTTCAGGTGTGGCCATTGGTGTTGAGAGGGGGAAGTGTTTCAGGTTTGGCCCTGGGAAGGTATGAAGAAGGGAATCAGGTGTGACCCTGGGTGGTGCGGGGGAAAGGGTTCAAGTGTGGCCCTAAGTGGGGAAGAGGAAGGGGCTCAGTTGTGACCCAGGGGGGTGCAGAATAGGTGATGGTCGGGTATAAAAACAGCGTGACGCTGCCGCCCGTCACACAATACAACCTGTCACCATGGACCACTGTTACCTCCTGCTGCTCCTCCTGGGGGAGTATACTCAACAGCTAGTATATAAACTCCAGTGTATAAACATATTCACCCATATGTATTTATCTATTTCGGGAAAGGATATATGTCCAAATACGTGTATATACATTGCTGATTGATCAGTAAGCTATTGTGGTGGCCCTAATAAACCACGAGCTCCTGATAGGTCTTAAACCAGGTAATAAACTGAAATCTATTGTGTCAAGCAACCATTTGACATATACTGCTAACCTGTCATATAACACCTACTTGTCATCCGAATTAAACATTTGATAACTTCGCGTAAAACAGGAAACGGCATTTACAATCTGTTCATTACTGGAATATTATTACCAGAGTTTTCTGGTAGTTGGTTATAAGTACCTCAGTAGTTATGAAACTTGTTATATACTCTGAGTCTCTTCTTGTTTCAATATACAATGTCACAATAGAGGCTGGTCAATATGCCACTTGGACAAGATCTCTTCAGGTCCCGGACATTACTCGCACGCATCTGTTGCTCTGTGATTCTGCAGAGTTGAGGAAGGAAGTCGTCACCACATGGGGCGGCTGATCTAAACTTGAGAGAGGTTATATGACTACACTGTCTTCAGTCGTAGCTGAGGTCTGTCCCTCGGGTCATGGTGGTCAGCCAGACCATCCCGTCTACCTTCTGTACATTACCCACAGTCCAGTAGGTCACTAACAGCATCCATAATGTTTACAGGGTCATCAGTCGCTACTGGCACGCAGCAGGAAGGTGACCCACAGCCCGCAGGTGAGGCTTGACTCTCGTTGTACTTGCAGGACAAACACTGCTTGATAGCAACCACGAAGAGCAAATGGAGCTTATCTTGTACAATCTATATCTATAACATAGAATGTCTGTCTGTTTCTTTACTCTGTTTACTTGTTATTATGTCTGTCCGAGGCTGGAGGCCAGCTCTTGGGGCCCGCCTAATTAAACTTTTCAGGATTAATGTTGATTTTATGGGGGGATTGTCATAAAGGTGTCTTGGTCGACCCATTGCCACCCTGGAGAGGGGCATGGCACCAATGCCCATCCTTCACGAAGTTAGTGGATGTGAAATGTTCTGCCAATAATCCATAGACCTTAGCAGTTGTATAAACAATTGTAGTATAAACAATTGTGAATTCAGATATAGATTTTCAAAACGTATGTTTTGATGACAGGTTTCCTTACTGGGCTCAATTTTTTTGTTATAATGACACGGAAATGACGTGTATGGGCATGGAAGAGAGGAGATGTGGAAAGTGCAAATGAGAGTAGGAATATGGGGAGATGAGGAAGAGCATGTGTAGGCAGGTAGAGATCGGAGATAGGGAAGAGTGTATATGGGCAGAAAGGGAAGACACAGGGCATGTGGGTGCTGGGAGGAGATGGCGCGTGTGTATAATAGAGGAGATGTATGTGTGTGGGTGGTTGGGAGGGTGTGTGGATGGGGGGAATATAGATGGCGTGAAGATGTTTATAGTGATGGAGATATGAAGGGTATACGGATGAAGAGAGTATATATGGGAGACCTGGGCACCGGATCGACCCGGGCACTACCGAGTACCCCATCTAGTAAATTAATTAATGGATACTGTCTTACACATTGGTTAAGATTGGTTATACACAGGAAAAATCATACTTCTTAACACTGCGACCCATCCCCGTCTTCCAGTTAGTGTGTCCAGAACTGTTCGAAGAAGTGGGCGGCAGATGCCTCCATTTTGATAATGTAAACACTGGCACGTGATATACGAAGCGTCAGATCTGTGAGGGTATTTGAGGAGACCTCATCAAGCTGGACAGCGGTGACCTGTATGCTGCTATCATGCGTCACATGCACGGCAACGGTAGGTGGGCACAACTGTGGTAAATACTCTCCTTTTTAGAGAGAACAGAGTTAAAATACGGGCAGAGAGAGGAAGGGGAAGAAGAGAACACAAGAACCCCCCCCCCCACCGTGTTACAATGGTGGACAGCGGTGGTTTCAACAATTTTGTTTGAAATTGTTGAAACCACCGAGGACAGCCGCGGGCCAGGATTAGCAGTGCGCCTCACAACAGGGCGATTGAGTGGGGATTGGCGAATCTTAGGGTTATGCGGGCTGATACGATTAAGGATTAGTTAGTAAGTTAGGCTGTTAATTAAGATTCATTGGCTAAGGAGACCGCTCCGAGTTGATTGGACTGGGTACTTTACTCGACCCATTGCAATTGATTCAGAGGTGTTGGGAGCCACCATACTCTCAACTGCAGTTCCTTGTGGGCTGGCTGGGCGGATTTATCTGTGGGACGCCAGGAGATTTATCCGAGGGCGTTAGTAGACGACCCAAAACGCTAGGAAAAACTTAAATCCGTGAAGGGCGTCGCGGCCTCCGAGGGACGGACTAGTAAACTACCTAGCATCGATTCGACGACTAAGTGATCACACACTTAGTGGAGGTTGAGTCGTCTCTAGTCTTAATTGTTGCTGAAAGCTGCGTGTCGCTCTGTTAGAACCTAGATGGTCGAGTCCCATAAGCTAGGCGCGGTACGGCGAGCTGGTAGGAGCGATTATAGGATTAAGGCAAGTGAATTTTAGCATTAGGTATAGTTAAATTTATATAAAGTAATTCCAATTATTGGCGTATTCTAGAGGTTAAAAATTTTTGTTTCCCCTAAATTCAATCCCCGGTTAAAATTTTTCCCAAGTGTTTAGTATTTTCTTGCATATTAGGCTAAGTGCGTACATTAAGCTTTGCTATTCCCTATTGTATTAGTCTAAGTCAGAGGTGTGGTTTTCTAGAGCGTAGTTAATCCTCTGGACTTAGGACTATATGTCGGTCATTATAGTTAGTGAAGGAATTATGTTAAGGGATAGTAATTTTCGTTGTAAATGTTCAATAGAGTTCGTGGAATATTTCTAAGTATCTTGGGATAAGTTTTCGGCTAAGTCAGCGTCGGAAAGTCGTTAACTGTAATTAATTGGTATTCGTGAGTAACGTATATGATCTGGGTATCATTAGGATTCCCCAGTCGATGCGAGTGATATTATTCTAGTTTTTTACCAGTAAGAGGGTAGAATTGCATTTTTAGACATAGAATTTTTGGTAGAAATGTAGGTGGAAGAATTTTCTAAGTCCAGCTTGGGCTAGAATCGGACTATTTGGCGAAAATTCGAATTTTCATGTTTCATGTATATTCTGGGGACAGTATTACCCCTCTAGTGCACGAAAGGGACGTAATTCTGTTCTTAGGCATTAAACAGTGATAATTACATTTTTGCCGAATTTAGTTATTTTTCGAGAAAATCATGTTTTAATTTTGTCAGAGTCCACTTGAGGTGAAAACCTCGGATTTTGACGAAAATTCGAATTAATGAGTGTTGAAACCGCTCGATGTGTCGGTATTGTTCTGCATACAGCGTCAGTATTAAAGAACAGCGTATTTATATCTGGGAACGAGAAACCCATTTTTGCGAATTAAGGGAGTTTTGCGATATTTGGGGTGATAGATTTTTTTTTGGGTGCAGAAAAAATTGGCAGAGTCCAGCATTGAGTAAAAACGCAGTTTTTGGTGAAAATTCAATTTTGGCAAGCAAATATATGTCCTGGGTGTCTATATTAATCACTAGAACGGTTTTGTAAAGTAAAACTAGTATTTTCCTTCAGAATAAAAAATTGTGATTTTTCAGCGTATAAGCGAAAAAGTGCGGGACTTAGTTTTTTTTCAGTGCAGCTGGTCCCGCTCCATCAGTCATCAGTGGCCACGCTGTTCACTTCAAGTGCGTCTAGTGTTCAAGTACAGTAAATATTCTTTATTTAATCCATCACGAGTGCTGCACGTTAGTTACTGTTATCATTTTAATTGTTTTACATAAATTAGATTCTTTAATTTTTTTTAACGTAGAGGACTTTGCTTTCAGTAATAGGACTGCGGGTTATTTCACGGTCAGACACGAGTGCGGGGCAGACGCTCATTCATTGGACTCACATCAGCGATTCTCTCGATTAATCGTTGTATTTCCTATTTTGGGAATTTCGTTGGTTTTCACAAAATCACATAGAAAGAGTTGTGATTTTATTTTATTTGTGTAAGATCACGGTTGTAGTGAGTCCGGGTCGAGGGTGTATTAAAAGGTAGCTACAAGAGACATGGCACACCAGGAATTACAAGACATGTTTAACCCAGGCAGTGACCAGTCAGTAGGGACCAGTGGGAGTGAAAGTGTAGAAGACAGCTCCTCTTCCAACACTACGGGGGACCGCTCAGGTAGCTCAGCTGATGCCACAGGTGGGGGTCAGTGGGACTGAGGCGACGGGGTCACGGGTTCTGCATGGGACTGGGAAGTCGAGGGTATCTTCCCATTCCAGTACAGATACGATTATTGACATGAGTGGGGAATCTCGCGAGGATTCGTCCCAAGAGTGGGGGGAGCCGTCTTGGGTTCCCCCACAGACAACATCGACGCCATACCAACAGGGTATACAGAGAGCTGGACAGGGGGCGTCAGTTAGTACGGTAGGACGTTGTGAGATTTTTTTCTACGCCAACCTCCCTTAGGAGGTAGACTACAAGTTTAAAGGCTGCTCACGGCAGTTAAGCATGAGTCCAATAGAAAAAGGAAAAGCGGGAGCAAACCGCCAGGCCTCCACCACAAGGGGTGAAAACCTGTCCACAATAGGCCGCTGGCTCCTCCTAATTAAACAGGACGTTAAAACTAATAAAGGGTAACAGATGGGTTCTCACAATCAAATATTTATATTTGATATGGCGCTATGAATTGGAATTCGAATTCCTAAGAACAGCCGTCATATCAAGATCACATCAACATTTAATTGCAATATGCAGAAACATGTGTGGAATAATATGGTTGAAGGATTGACAACAAAGACCGTTTTCGATAACATAACAATTTATTAATAACAAGAGACTAACTACTACATTACTGAGTTTACGTTACGTTAATATCCATCCAGTGGCACGATAACAAACAGCTAAATAGCAACCCTTGCTGTGAGGCTGCATACTGAACTAACCTGAACACAGGTGTGCCCACTGATGACGCAATATTGCAAATCAAAGAAAAATATCACAGACTAAGTTGCACCACAGCGAATGGTTACGTTATTGTACATCAAGTGGCATTTGCAACACAGCTATTCAACAGCCCCTCGTGAAGTGACAGCAGGCTCCATCTTGCTGACACTTCGGGCTGACAACATGAACTAACTGAACAAATGAAGATATCCACTGAAGACACAAGCATGCAATCAATAGTGTCTCGGTTTCCGTGACAGCTACTATAATCACAAGCTTAGGGGTCCTCCCGCCCCCCAGGAGAGACCCACGTAACAAGGCGGATAGTCCAACAGTGACTCCCCCTATCACAACCCAGTGTGAACACTCTTTGCAACTCCCTACAAGGAGTTGCACTGTAAACAGTAAACAAAGACAGGCAAGGCGGGATTCTGGGACACAGCTCCCCAAATTCCTAGATTACTCTACTCTCGTCACCAGACGACAACCAAAAGAAATTGCCTTAAGTGATTAATTACGTTAATTGACTGATCGCAGCAGTCAGCAACAAAGTACTACGGTAATCACTAACAATTGTCTCACACTAGACAACAACATGATGATACTCTACGTTAATCATTAACACTTGTCTCTCTTGTTAACAATAACTCAAACTTATATTACATCACACTTGACTCCTAGCAAGTATTCAGTGAGTAATCCTCCATTAAGGTCAAACGGACCACTAATTACATCCCCATTGAGTTACGTTAACTAAGCCTACTCTAACTTGGTAGCTTCTCAACAGTCTGTGTAAAAAAAATTACTAGTGAGTGCTAATTACCCTAACTCTGAGCAATTAATTGTCACCAGGACCGATAATTAAACATCCATAAATACGTCTCATTCCGCACTGCCTAAGCAGGTCTCATCAAACACTGTGAATTCACGGGAAAGGAATTAATTACCCCGAATTAACTTGAGTGCCATTAATCCACTGTCCTCAGTCAGGATATGATTAATACAACGATATATGCTAGCTCCATGACCTCGCTTTAACGAGTCATCTGAGCCCTCCAGACGTTAATTACTCCACTAATTAACATGAGCCACTAATTGCTATACCTGAGAAAGGTAATTAGTCTCGAGCAAATTACGTTAACACAAATACTGACAGACTCTGGCAGATCCTCTCCCACTACGTGAATTCATGATGAGAAGGCTAATTACGTAATTAGCTATAGTGGTCAATTAGTTGTCACACGGACAATTAATTGTTCCCGAGACGTATCTCACTCAAGCTCAACGCTGTTCTCTCATAACAGCCCTCACTCACTCAACAATAAGTGTGCACCCCTTATCCAGTTAATTCCCCAATTATTAACTCACTGAATCCTTAAGTCCTCAACACAACTTAAAGAAACAAAGTAACCCCAGTGTTACATAGGTCACACTACATTGGCATGCAACAACACAAATGCACTGCCCACATATGGTTGCGGCTACTGCAACTCGTTAATTACTGTGCCCACATAATAATGACACACGGTTGTGCAACAAGAGTATACCAATATTACTGCCCCCCCTTTTCTTGCAACCGTTGCAAAGGACTACTGTGAGCACACACTTACCTCAGCAAGGCATTAACCAATCAACTGCCTGCTCTCATTAAGTACTGTGAATTCCCCTGAATAATCCTAGAGGTCCCTTAAACCCTCAACACAGCTCCCAGGGCAGCAATATCGTATAAACTGATAACAACACTGCACAAACATGCAACATAATGATGCCGTCAGCATACCCCACATGCTAATGACATCATTAGGCAATCAGTCAGCAATCACATCTACTGACTCACCACACAACACAGTACATAAAACATGCAAATGAACACATAGAAATGGCATTCAGATAATCAATGAAAATTATATCAACAGGTAAAT